TAGATGTTTTACTTCTTGCGATCAGGGCACTCCATACTTAAGCGTAACAAGTATTCAAACCGTCATTACCAGACATATAGGATGGTAGGAAAAATGCGTCGAAGTGCGGTAAGCGGTGCACCGATCGACGGTCACGGAATCTGCGAAACTACGAGCGAGCGGGAGAAAGTTCTCGCGAGATGCAAGTGCAATTACAGCGAGTGATAAAAGTGCCACTTAGCACTATAATCTGCACTGTATTTTTACGTCCTTTTGATTTGACAGAGAAACGACAGGCAACGAGAAATCAAAATGCCACTTTGCGCCGCAATTTGTCCATGCGTTTTCACGTCGCGTCGGCATTACCCCTTCTTTTTTCTTGCGAGTAAAACTACTCGAGTTACGAGTGTTTCTCGCAACGTGCGACAGACATTCTTTCACATTTGACGTCGCGTAAAATTGCGAATTCGCAATATCGTGCAGAATATATCTCTCTTTCATTTATTCCTCGTTCACCGCCGATTGTATGTGCGATGCACATTTCTCGAACACCCTTCCCTCGCCGACTCCGTAAGTCGGAAAAAAAAATCACTTACGTAACATTTTTTAACAGCATTATAAGAAATGAGAAAAATAGAAAAATATCTAAGCTGGACGCGAACTGACGTCGCAGTAGAGCTTTTGATAAAAAAATAATCGATTCAGCTCAGTTGGCCGCGCGACGAAAGTTCGGCTGTTTCCTAACAGTATCGTGAATTACGAAACGTCCCGCGTAAGAGCGAAAGAAGAACACCGGCGCGTCGCCGATTAGAGTTAATCATCTTATCAAAGGAAACCGGGGATATTTTTAAAGCGCGCTGGCTTCGAGCGCAGACGGGCCGTCAGCTTTAGGAAGTCTCCGGCGAAGCGGAGGGAACAACATTGGGTACCGCCGACGCGGTCCTCTCGTCGCCTAATTGAATGGCATTTTATTTAGCACAGTTCCCCGCACTCTGGATAGCCGCCATTTACCTCAATTACGTAATTCACCGTACACAACCGGCCGCGCAGCTACCCACCATGGGCACATCGCATGGTGATGGCGTAGCCGATGGGCACCGGGTGGTGGTGGCGACGGTGGTAGTGGTGGTGACGGTGGTGGTGGTGGTGGCGGCGGTGACGGCGACGGTGGTGGCGGTGGCAGTCGACTGATGACACGTGTTTGCGCTACCGCCGCCGTGCAATTAGCCCCCCGATGTAATTTCGCGCCGTAAGAGCGTGCCACGCTCTTTTGGCCTAGTGCCGTTCCCGCGGGCGCATCGGTACACTGGTATTACGAAGAGGGAAGTGATTCCCGTCCGGGGCGCACGTAGGTAAATTCGAGCCCCGTGACGTCCTCGAACTCTCGCACTTTTGCGAGCGCGATATCGCGCGCTTTCCAACGTAATTAGCAGCGCTATCGCTATGCCCGCTCGGTCGGCCTCTCGCCGAGGGAAAAAATCGCTTCGGAAATGCAACAATATGAAAAAGTCCCGTCATCAATATTGTGATTACGCGATAACAAGTCGTGCTGTAGAGACGTCTCTCTCGGAATATCGATAGATGTATACGATGCCTTCGGTATTCACGCAGACAGCTATTTATGACCGGTAAAATTGTGTAATTAATGTTGAGTTCTACGGAGTATCGAGAATGAGTGTTGGTGTAATTGAAGCACCGAGTCGGTATACCGGTGAAACGTGACGCAATGTTAATAGACGAGGCATTATCTAGCGAGTAATATCATTGTAGACGATAACCACGCTCGAAGCAGCAATTGTGCTCACTGACTGATTAAGGATAATTATAATCCAGAAAGAAATGTCTCTAGGTCACTGTGCTACGACGACGAAACGCTCAACAAGTTCCTGTTTTGAACGTTCCGCGTTGTCGGTGTTTTTAAATGTTACCGAGTCCGGTTTCGAGACGAAACTTGTTTCACAGGAAAATTCTTATGAGAAAATCACAAGTACAATTAACTCGGAGGGAAAGGAAATATTTAAGGAGAAAAGAATATCCGGTTAAACGTCTACGTCTGCTTCCACTGAAAATGTTACATTTATCATCAGCCATTCATGAAAAGGAAGAAGAATCGGCCAAGCGACGCGTAACCAAAAATCATTTATTTTAATTACGAATGTTAAAGAGGCGAGGCGGAGACGCATGAGCACGAGACAATTTGCATCAAATTAATTATACTGGTACGTTGTGTGGTGTCGATAGTCAATGAGTGCGTAAGTACGCACTAGCCGGCACTATTCATGAACAGGATCTGATCTATCTTCACCCGTTCACCCGGCTACCACGGTATGTTCGCAGATACTATCGGTGAAAAGCCCTACCTCATTACGAACCACACTTCACGGTGAAGTTATTCCACGCTTCTACTTACCGCCATACCTTCATAACGCCAAATTGTCTGATAGAAACTTAATCGCGTTAATAAGATGTACGGCAAATGGTTGCATAACAACCGTTACACGATATATATGCGTTTAAGGATATGAAAGAAATTACGGCAATATCCTCTTTCTCGTAATGATTCGCATTTAGATGTAAACTTGTAGATTGTTACGGCGATCGAAAGAGCACGTTTGTTCCATCCGGATGCGTCGGTGCGTCCAAATAACACCGCACCGACGCGTACTTGTTGCATCGGCTAATCGGCTGGTGGATCATCAGGATTCGGTCAGCAAGGATCCCCTTGTCGAATTAGTTGACGATAAGCAGTACACTATCACCGCTTCCATCGTCACTTGCAATGTGCATACATGGCAGCAGAAAGGAGAAGGAAAAAATATCAGGCCGTTCAGCTCCACCTCTGTCTGCCGGCGGTCCACTCCCTTCGTGGTGAGTTAATGGGCGGAGCCAAGGACATCTTTTGCCGCCAACGTGTCGCGATGTTCGCACGGACAACATAGCGCAAGTAAAACGGAATCTACACGTCTTCAATCTTAATGATCGCGATTTCGACACAAAAGAGAAATGGGCATCTGTTATACTCTAATAAGTCCCCGAGTTGCCCAAATATAACATTTGAATCGTTGTCACGTTCTTTTGCAGAAAGATGAATCCAGTTATCATACAGGTTTGAAAAACTAAATACTCAATGCCAATACCAAATGATATTTCAGTATTTGGAACTTTGGGTGTTATTCCTGTATCCTAGTAATAATGATACTCTTTCAAGTATCTCCAGGATATCCAGCTATTTTAAATAATATTCCAGTAACCGAAAAACCCACTAGGCTGAATACTGAAAAAATATCAGGATAAAGCAACCACCTGGTTTATGTCGGCTGTTAAATGAAAAATGGACACATTTTTAATGGGTAAGTTTTAGAAGAACTAAAATACCCCAATCTCGATTCTAATAATGTCAATATTTTGGTATCCGTATGTTTAGAAAGATATAATCCGCATAAAATTCTCCAAGATTTTTCCGTATAAAGCATAGATTCCAAATAGAAAGCCCAGAATTGTCTAAATAGATAATCTCGCTACGATATTAATTGGGAATCCTTTTCTTATCTTAAACATGAGATAAGGCCTCTTTTCCACGATGTTGACTGGCCGTGCGCTGCAGCTTGTTTCGTGCGACTGCCATTGCTAGAGTCGAGTAACAGTTTGACCAAATATCGGATTAGGAAGTTAATAAATGGAGTTATATTTTTTTAATGTTACTATATTTAATAGCGCGCGCATGGACCCGTGCGTGCGTACGTGAGTATGTGTGTGCGTTTGTGTTTGTGAATGAGTGCATGTGACTGTGTGAAATTATAAAGCGAAAATGTTTCGTATATTTTGTTCAATCGTAGAGTAAAATGAAAACCTAAAAAGTCCTTAGGAAGACGTTAGGACTAATACCAAAGAGGATTTATTTATATTTCTCATTTAAAATAGTACGCTTGAAATATTATACTTCTAACTCCAGAACTTGCGTAGATCTTCCTACTAGGATGCATAATTATTTTGAGAAATCAGACTGAACCCCAAATCCAAAATCCCAATTCCAACAGATTTGTCATACGAGTTTTTGTTTATTTGAATCTCCCGAGTATTTCCAGAACTGGCTATTACAAGTAGTGCTTAAGTACCCGGATAGTAACAACAAATTCGAGTACCAAGGAGATACCTGGGTACAGCAACTGCCCGATTTATACTGACGGCACTCGTAGACACAGTTGGATATACCAAAATACAAAAATCAATCCTAGAATGACGATACAAGGAAACAGACATGACTGAGCAAACACGCGAATAGGGTTGTCCTCGACCGCTGAAAACGGACGATGAAGCGCGATAAACAATTATCCCCAAATTGAAAAATTACTCTATGGAAATTCAACGAGTTCTCTGTATTCGCATCCGAGGTTATCAGCTTCCGAAGACTATCCACGAGTGAACAGCGACTCGCCGAAGCCCGAATCAACTCGGAACAATTGAGACGTCGCGTACTCAATAATTGGAACGTCACTCGTCTCACCTCCAGGCACAACGAGTCTGATAGTGCGATTCGGTTAACGAATCCAACAACGAAGAGAATAACAAACGCAATTCTATGAGGCCGGTAGCCCGCCGAACGATATCTCTGGCCTTCCCCGCGTATTCCACCGACGATATCTACCGAAGCCAGCACGCGCGACGAACGAGAAGGATTCTCCAGGCAGGTATAGCGAACACCTTTGCGTTCTAGTCGCCCCGAGGGCGTCCGGGTGGACGTAGGCAGAGTCGCGTTGCGGTAACGCCCACGTAGGTACCATAATGGCCTCCACGAAGCCAATCGCCGTCGCTGACGTCACGCGCCGGTGGTAGGGGGAGACGCGGCGCGCCAATCGCGCGAGTGCGCGGTGCCCGCCACAGGCGTGGCCTTGAGTGGCGCCACCGCGGCGACTTTCAGAAACGGTGAATCGGGCTCCGGGGAGAGGCTCTGGCTTCATTATGTATCATTATACCGGTCCGCGCCGCGCGGTGTGCACTGCAGTTACTGGAACCAGGCGCGCGCGCGTGTGTGCTTTTCTCTCTTCTTCTACGCCCTGGCCGTCGTCGTCTTCTTCTTCTTCCCTACCTTCTTCGCCCGGCCGGTACGGTTTGCGTACACACCGAGCGTGCACGATACGCTCATCGGCTAAGTAATCGTGGCGCGGCGCGTGTAAAAAGCACACCGCCGTCGACGAGGAGGTACGCGGAGGACGCGCGTGTGGCACGGCGTGTGCAATTAAATCGAACGCGAGTGTCGGGATACGACGTAACAAATAATCGGTACTGGTCGAACAGAGAGCGAAACCGGGGAGGATTTCGGCCACCGTCGGCGCAGCGGGTGTCCGCGGACTATCAGCGCGACAGTGTTCGGTGAGGTCCGCCGAAGTGGCAGCAGCCGCTTCGCGTCGCAGTGACAGAGAGTGACGGTTGCAGCGCAAGGAGGAGCGACATGTCGACGACTCGGTTATGCGGTCGCGACGCGATCCCCTTTGGAAGCCGGGCCACGACGAGGTGACGCACGGCGACCGGACAGTAGCACCGCTCGGGGACTCTCATTGGGTCGGTACAGTGTTTCCGCGCCCGTTCCACGGTGAGGACTACGCGTGTGCAGTGGACGTGTGACAAGTGGTGCCTCGAACTGGGAGATAAAAACATCCGGACGGATACGTGCGACAGAGAGACCGAAAGTGAATATTCCGGCGCAGTGAGCCCGATCGAGACGGATCACGAGTGTGGATACTGAGGAACGGTGCGAGCCCGCGGTGCGGACTCCCGATGACGACTCGCCGCGTTCCGTCCACCTAGTCGCCGTGTGCTCGTGGCGAGCTCCCAAAATTCGGGCCCCATACGGAGCGCGGGCGGCGGCGACGACGTCGTCGGCGAGTTTGGCGGCTAGGGCCTTGGGCTGTGGCGGCGGCATCGACGTCGCGTCTAAAGTGGAGCGTCCGGGCAGCACGACGACGCTCAACTTCACGGATCTGGGGAGCCCATTCGGGGCGGGCGACCCCTGTCCGTCGAGTACCCCGACCCCGAACAGCATGTCGGGCGGCGGCGGACCGACCGGCGGCGGCGGTGGCGGCGGAGGCGGCGGCGGCGGTGCCGCCGGTACCGGTGGCGCCGGCTCCGACATGGAGCAGCATCTTCATCACGCCGGTCTCGGCTCGGTGACGCCCGGGCCACCCGGTGGCAACGGCGGCGACAGCACGACGTCCAGCACGCCGGTCTCCCAGAGCGGCAAGTCCGCCTTCATCGAGCTGCAGCACAACAACCTCTACAATCCCGCGAGCCTGCGCGGCGGTTATCCGGGCGGGCACAACGTGCCCGGCGCCCACCAGTTCTCGCACCAGGTCGGCTCGCTGGCGCACCAGGGCTCCGGGCCCGGCAGCGGCAATCAGCAGCACGCGGACGCGGGCTTCCCCAGTCCCAGGTCCGCGCTCGCCGGATATCCGTTCGCGCCCATGCACCAGCACAACGCCTACGGATATCACCTGGGATCGTACGCCCCCCAATGCCCCTCGCCGCCCAAGGACGGTGAGTACCCCAACTGTATGTATTCGCAGCCTTTTTTATTCCTACTCTTAGACGTATCTAGGTTACAATCCGGATCTCCGTTCCCCGGGCCCACTTGTGGAAACTGATCGCGCTCGTCGCCGACATCCCGCAGTGACGTTTGCGCGAGTGTACCCGCACGGAACGGAGATACCCATCGAAGGGCTCAAGGCGAGAATGCTGCGTGTGATTAGTGCGCGCCGTACAATTGGTGATGTCACAATTGCCGATGCCGCGATTAGTGATCCCTTTTCTTGTCGAGTTTTCGTCGGAAAAATGTCACGGTGTTGCTCGGATCTCTCACATTTTCCGGCCCGACCGTTGATCCGGCAACGACGAATCGGGAATTTCGATGCCGTCTTGAAAGAGAGAGACTCGAGAGATCGCCTCTTCCGAACCAGTTAAAACCAGATCAAATATTCACGCCTTGTGCCTTTTATTTCAAGAGTTAGACAAATAAGCTCTCTCGTACGCGCGTGCGCCTCTATTGTTAACCCGATACTCGGCCGACTTTGAGTTGGAAAAGCAAATATCGTGCCGGCGACGTAACATTTGTCAGGAATGATACGGTCACTTTGACGCGGAGCACAAATAAGACGGCGACAGGCATTTCCGGTAGGCCACTTGTATTTCACATCGCGACGACCGCTTTATTGTTACGGCTATATCGCCATGGCCGTAGGAGCTTTATTGCCGCTTACCGAGTAATCTTCGGCCGTACGAGCGGCCGACTTGTATCGTATCTTCATCCGTTCTTTCACCGTTGTGCATGAAAATTTAAGCCGCCTCGCTGCCGCGATTCGCTCGCGTCGTAGATGTTTCAACTCGGTGTCCCGACTAGCGAGTTTACATCGTTATTTCCTACGCACAACACTTTCCATCAAGTATGCGAGACCCTAACGCTTTGAGTTGCGAAACTCGGGAAACTTTTCGCACCACCACGTTTTCACTCGCTCCGAGTTTCTTCTACTTTTTTCTTTTCTTTTTCGAATCCTCAACAACGGGGAAAGGTAAACGAAAGAGATTTCCGAAGCAGCGAGTAGTCTCGCGGTACATTCTAACGGCACGATATTTTCGAAAAGAAATACAATGTATGACCGGGGAATCCCGAGGGGGGGGAGGGGGCGAAAGATTCACACGGAGGAAGACGAACAAAGGTGAATAAACAAACCGAGCGGAATAACTCGGAAAGCACTTTGCAGCGGCGGTCGCAGCGACGGGCAACTCGAAAATGTTCTCCTTCGGTCATGTCGCTCCTCCTTTCACGTGTTCCTTTATTCTCCCCGGAATCGCATCGGCACGTTATAATCGCGATTTTAGTCCCACTCGCGAAATCGCCAGTCAGCTAATTGCGATCATTATCGGACGCTCCTGGTTCGCGCCGCGGATCGCAGAATCGCCCGAGGCGTGTGTTCCGACCGCCGTCGCGCGGCTGCTCCCTGAATATTTCATCGCGGAAACATCGCCGGACAAAACTGCCTTAATTCGAGAACGGTCACTGCCGAGGTCCAGTTTCCCGTGACAAGATCAGCCGATCCGGAAGAATCCTCGCCGCGACAGGCGCTGAGCTCTCGCTCGTCGAGATTGTTTCACCTTCAACGACGCTACAAATTGCGTTATCGTTTGATCGCCGGGCCGCATGTTTCATGTGTCCCGACGCAGTTCCTACCGTTGGCAGTCCAAACACGACGACAGTACACACACACACACACACACACAGAATACACACACGTATCCAGGCGCATATCGCGGAATCGCGTGATCGAGATAACTTATTTCGCCCGAGGAAGTCCGCATGCCGTGAGGCTCCATGCGAGTGACATTCGCGTTGGCTTCTTGGTCGATCGCATTTTCAAATATAGTCCGAACACCGGCTGGAAATATCCCGGAGCGCGCGGCAACATTCGGCGAATAATTCATCGCGCGGCGGACACGCGCGCGCGCGCGCGAAGTATAGAACGAGGAAACTCCGTCGACGCGCTTAGGCAAACCGTTCGCAGGAGCATAGTCGCCACCGGGCGCACCGGCGACAGTTCGCTACCCTCCATCTGCGTTCCATGAATTCGTAACGGCACCCGTGTCCACCACCCCCGCGGCATCGCCGGCCGAGCTGAAGCTCCGGCGTATCTGCGTGTAATCTACCGCGCGACCCCCTCACCCTCCCCCTCGCATCAAGCGCGTAGGCAATTTTCGAGGCGGCACCTCTTACGGAAATTACCGGTGAGCACTCGAGGACGAGAGCCGCGCGGAAGGGTTCGGAAAAACTTCCACCGACGGGAAGAATCCGGGCGCGACGCAATTTCTGCTCGCGGCGCTCGCCGAACGGATGATCGGGCTCTCCGACGATCGCTCGTCAGGGGGTTGAATTCTCACGGAGGGTTGCGCTCTCTCGGAAACTCGGATGCGTTTTGCCCTTAAATTGACGGTCATTTTCCTCTACACATACCCACACACATATACACTCTCTCTCTTCCTCTCTCTCTCTCTCTCTCTCTCTCGCATACGCGGCTCGCTTTTCACACAAATCGTGCACCCCCGCGCCGCGAGCCGCGGGAAAACTTTGCCGAAGGGTTGGCATAACTTTAGTATTTCCATGGAAAAGTTTCACCCGGGATTCCGGTAGGGTCGGCGCGGTCGTACACCGTCGTGCATCGTCCGCGAAGTGGTCGTTAAAACTCGCCCGCGGTCTCCGGCGAGTTTTCTCTTTCTTTCTCTGCACGCGCGCGGAAGCGACGCGCGGCCGGTCGCAGAAAGTCAGTTACCACATTTCCTTTACGGTTTCCGAACGCACCCCGTGCCCGATGCCGGAAAATTTCGTTTTCCAGTGATACATTTTCCTATCGGACGCGTAGCGAAACTCGTCGAGAAAAGGTGTCGCAACCTTCTCGCGAGCGACCGTGTGTGAGCGAACGTCGCGGGAGAATCCGCCGCACGCAACAATGCGGGGTTAATCCCGGTCTTGCGCGCGTGTATGCGCGAGCTAATTCAATTAATTGAACGATAAATATGTAATTACAATTGGGGCCCGCCTAATTGCTGACGGACACGCCACTGTTTGTGCATTCCGCTCGGAGGATGACAGCAATTCCGTCATTTGTCCGTCCGAGCGGGACTCGCCGAGTTAAGTTGATCGGTCCAGAATGATTTTGATTAGCCGATTAAAATAACAGTGCGGGCGCTAATTGCGCAAAGTTTGCAGCGCGCGCGCGCGCTGTAACAAGCGCGCATTCACGCGCGATCGATTCGCGGCAGCGAATCTCATTCCTTTAAAGTCCCCAATTTGTCGTGTAATTGTGCGAAATTTCGCCGAAAGGAGAACCGTTCTGTGAATATTGCCGATTGCCGCGCACGGGGCGCGAATGAGGGATACGAACGAAGGCAGTGGCAGTGTCGTCTCTTCGGTGTCGATCTTGCCTGGCGGACAAGAATAAAGTAAGACACCGATAACACATAGGCGAATACCGAAAGGAAAAGTGCACGTAGGAAAGAATTTTGCTGGAACAGCAAAATGGCGACAGCGAAAAGTCTGGATGGGGAGAGGATTTGTTAAGAGTATTAATTTTGGACTGTGCCAACTGAATTTTATCGCAGTGGCGGCAACGTTTCGCTACGACGGCGAGGTTATTTTTCTTCGTGTAACAAATCTTGTTGCGCAGTTATTGCGTTAACAAGCAGTCTGCTGTTCCAGCGAAACTTTTTCTCCGTGTGCCGCATTGAAATAAATCACATTACTTCGTTGCTTCTCAGAAAATGTTTACTCGAATGTACTTTTTCCGCTGTATTCAAGAAACCGTCTACCTGATTCGGGTAAAATTTTCCAGGGGGTATTGGAGTAATTGTTAAGTTGAACGTAGCGCTTGGTTCTTTCAGTGCGGAGATGAGAACAAACAAACACTGTCGTTCCGTCAGAGGGAAAAATACAATCGGCGTTCTGGCCGAACAAAAACGGCAGTAGCCGGGCGTAGCCGAACAAAAGTGATTTGCAGTGAAGTCACTCGCGCTTTTCGCAGCCCGACATTCGCGAGGTCGATCTCTCGATCGCCGCGTGGTCACGCTTAGATAAGCCCGCACAAAACCCACAATGTTAAGAGCACATTAGGACGTTATCCAGCGCCATTTATCGGACAATCGGTGTCATCCGTCCTCGATAATGTCAACAAGTTTTGTCACCACTTCGACGTGCGTCGTCGCCGAGAGAGCCCCCGAACAACGAGGCCGCTACTTCGGGCAACGTTTCTTCGCAATCAACGCGCAGAAATCCGCGATCGTAACGTCGCTGCAATTACGAGTGTTTCCATGAAAATCAGTTCGTTCAGACATAGAAGTCGCGCGTCTCAACGCCGGCGTCGCGATTATCGCGGTTACTCGTGGCGTTAAATGCTCTTAGAGCGGAGTTCGACCAACGCTAATGAAGCTGTCCGAGATTATACGAGCGTCAGTGACGAGCCGCGAGAACGGCTAGAGAAGGGGTTGTCCGCGCAGGCCGTCAGGATCCGCTGTGTCCACGGCGCGCGCGTGTGTGTGTGTGTTCGCCGTCTTCGCGCACCCTCCGACCAATCTTATCGTCGCGACAAATGAACCGGCCATTAACCGGTTCGTCCTCCGCGTCGTACCCGTTGTCTTTCTGCCCTCCGAACGAACGGACGCGACCGAATCCAATTAGCAAGGGTCCCTTCGATGTCTCGCATCAGTCACTTGACCTGACGCCCGACCGCCGCCTGAATTAATCCGAAAAGGCCGAAAGACAATGCGTACCCCGGTACCCCCGAGTGATGGATTAGGTATTAAATGCTTGTTTTCACAAGGATTAGCCGGTACATCAACTTGGAAAGCACCGCCCGGTTCTTTCGGGTCTCGGTTCTTCCTCCACTCCCGTACTCACGATCGAATCCTGAGCCACTTCGGAGCAGTTTCGGACGGACGGATCTGCGCGGAGAGTCGCGGTTTTCTCCCCCACGGACGCATTTCAAGGCGCATCATTCGGATATCGTTCAGCGATCTCCGGTGATGCGGGTTTCCGAAGCAACTAAGAATATCGGGGTTCCGATAATCGGAAGAGAATGGAGAGAAATTCTCTTCGTTCTATGAAGAGGTGGAGAAACTCTTCCTCTTCTTCGGAGAGTTGCGTGAAATACAAACATTATCTCTGACGGTAAACATTAGGTCTACGAGGCCTGCACGCGTTTTCCTTCGCTTTTCCACGTTTTGCGCAAACGCTATATATCCCGCTCCTATTTCTCGGAAATAAAAAAGTTGGATCCATGAACACAGAAAATTACATGCCGCATTCAAATAAATATTACTTGCCTCAAGTATTTCATGCAAGTTTATATATCCACGAGTACATCATAAGTTCATCATAAGCGTCAAACTTATTCGAAATATATTCTGAATCCTAGTAAGTTTAAGTACTTTCAGTCGAGAATTCAGTCGTTAAATTAAAACACCAGAACGAAAACTTGACTTATTTCACTTATCTACTTGATTACTTATTTCAATTACCGATTTTAACTTTTCTCCGATAAAAGTTTATAATACTCTTGGAAAGAAACACTCTTCTTTTGAGTGATGATAAGCTTTTCTTATATTTACAATGAGTGTATTTTCATATTATTATCGGGCATATGTTCTTCGAGATAACTGTTACTTAAAAGAAGAAAAATACATTGAATAATTGCTTTTTTTTCGCAGTATAATAATTTTTTTACGGAAGATCGCCGCTAATGTCAGCCTGATTCATTGAGATAATTGATTTTCTGGCGGCGAACAGTCTGCAAAAACAATAAATCGAAATCAATTCATAAACTTAATAAACGTAAGTAATTCAAAAAATTCAAACATCACGATTTTTACAATTGTTCCCGCGATGTCGGCCTGAGGAACTTATACTGTTGTCAAAATCGCGGATGTCACTCTCGAGACTAGACAGTATCAAACAACGCGCGACAAAAGCCAAATATTATTTCCAAATCAAGAGCGCAAGTGAGCCCTCAGTTCTCTCTATCTCTGGTTCAGTTGATAAACTGAATTCTGACGTAATCAGAGACGCGAAATTTCGCATGGTCGCCATAGATCAGCTCTTATCCGAGAATTGTGGGTCAGATAACTCGAGGTCCGATCACCCCACCGACTTGGTTACGAAATCCCCCCGATCGCAGCCTCCGGTCCGCAGAAAAGAGCATTTTCGTTTCCAGTTACGCCGGAACACAAAAAGGAATTCAAGGAGCTTTTTCATCATTGCTCGCGCGCAGTGTGGTAGCGCGATGTGGAAATATAAGATGTCGGTTCAGCGACAATGTTAGACAGGTTCTGTTAAGTCCAGCCTAGGGCAGAGACGGACACCTTGTAATTTTGAGTTCTTTGGATTGAGAGCCGCGCGCCTACCGTGTGATTATCAACGTCGCATTAATCGCTCGGTAGGCTTATTATCATACGTTCGGTTCGGTTTGATTACGCGACTCCAAAGAACCTTCAGCGATGCGAGGCGGCGGCGGCGGCCGTGTACGCGCGTGCACCGCCGCAAAGTAGCACTTTGCGGCAGTTTCTGCCGCGGCGTGCACTTTGCATACGCCTCGGTGTTAACAACCATAACCCTATCCTATCCCTCGCAGCGTGAGCTCTCTCGGAGCTGAACAGCGCGAGAGAAAAGTGCGCCCATAAAGCAGCGGTCTTTTCACGCGCGTCCGCGCGCGCGTGCAGGGTTGCTCGCTCTACCCCCGCTCGACATCGCGTCGCCTTAACCGGCTGTAATTAACAACGGGAGCTCGTAATCTCGCCGCTAACGCCTCTATAAAATTTATTGCCCGCCATGTTACGCGCCGATGCACCGCGCGACAGCGTTAACTATCACCGGTCGCGGGTAAAAACGCGGCCGATAAAGGGAATAATCAATGACGAGATATATCCATGCGTCGTGTCGATGACAATTTATGGGCCACGGTTACTCCTTCGCATCTTCCTGCCTCCTCCTCTTCTATCTAACATCTTTTCGAGCCCGACGCTAGTTGCATTCATTACCGCGCGAGAAATTCCTGATACGAATAGATACGGCCGAGCAATGTTCGCCGTATGCAGATATTACATGGCTTATTTTACATATCGTCGTCGGTTTTGAAATATTTTCAATCAAGAAATGCAGAACAAAATTACAATATATCGCCGTTGTAATCTGTTGCTTTCATATCGCGAGACTTATTTACGCGAAAGAGGTCTTTCACGCCGATTTGAAAGATCGCGCGCGCGCGCTCGGGGATCGCCTCGGGATTTTACACGGGGAAGGTAAAAACACGAGCGCAAACACGCGATTGCATCGCCGTGACGCCGATGTAACCCGGCGGTGAGGTTTATGGAGGATCATTATTGTCTCTTTTATGCGCGATCAAAGTCTCCCCGTTGATTCTCCATCGATCCGCGTTTCGTCAATCCCCTTTCGCTCGCCGACGAGGTGTGACACGCTCATGTATAAATCACGAAGAATCACACGCGTGTGAGCTCGCCCGCCGGCTCGTCGTAAATTACGCTAATTAATAGTCGAGCTAATTGTTGCGGCGAAGGGGAGGGAGGGGGCGGCGGAAGGCTCCCGCTTCAAGTTGGCGCGTCGCTTCGCTTCGCGTCGCCTCGCTAATTTGCGGCGTCTCTCGATATCTCAGTTTGTTCGGCCCGATGTTGATCGCGCGTCTTTGTGCTATTTCACGCGAGACGAATGAAAAATCAGTCAACAAAACGCGCCTGTCGTCTATATAACACACAAAAATGCATGTGTACGCGCGCGCACGGGCTCTCTTCTCTCTCTCTCTCTCTCTCCCGGGAAGGACGCGAGCGCGCGTCTCCCCGATGAAAACACGCAACATCGTAATCGCAATATAAAAATAATGAAACAGATTCCGCGGAAGATAGGCGACGCTGGCGCGATGCGCGCCTCTATCAGACCTACGTTACTTCATTGCATCGCTCTAAGATTGATATATGGCTCCATAATTAATTACCGCGCAGTTAACACACCACCGTAGGGCTTTCTCTCTCTCCCGGCGCAACGAGGGCACACATTTTCTACATTGTGCTAATTATCACAATACATTGTACGCATCGAATAATGCATTTGTCTTATCAGATAATTGCCCGCGCGCATAAAATATTCCGAAGTATTTGTTTTTATTTCGATGCTCTTTTTTCCCGGTTCTTCGAAAAAAAAAAAAATGAAGAAAAAGAAAAGAAACCGGCCGCGTCACTTCCGTTAATTTCGACTCCATGAGACTCTTAGCGCACGCTTCATTAAGCACCTTTTACTTTTCGCACGGATTCCGGTGTAAGACTCTTCCGATCTGAAGAGTAACTTGCAATTAGCCGTGTAATGTGCGATGACGCTTCGTCGTGAAAATGAGAACCGTAAAGGATAATCATAATCAATGTGCAACGCTTCGCTATTATGTCAGTTTCTTACATTGATTACGATTATAGCTATAGCTGTTGATCCGATGTCTTTTTCGGGGAAAGAAATCTAATTTCTTCCTTTTATATTTATCATATCGAGACTGCTCGTACTTTCTCATATCGCGTCATTTTGGTAAAGTTCTGCCTCCCTCGTTATCGCAAGCTCATCGATGCCAACGATATCACGAGAATGGATGAGCTTCCCCGCTCGTCGCGACATCGCCCGCGACGGTTTCTGAAAATGCGGGTTAGGTTTTAGTTGAATTTATTTTTAGTTCGTACGCGAGCAGTGACGAGGATTCTGAAAGTTGATGTTAGGGTGGTGCATGTTCGCAGACCTCTCGCCATTGGGTGATAAAGGCGGAAGCCTCGTCGACGAACTCGGCGGCGGCGGCGGCGGTTCCCTCAGGAACGGCAAGGGCAAGAAAATGAGGAAACCGAGGACGATTTACAGCAGCCTGCAATTGCAGCAGCTCAACAGGCGGTTCCAGAGAACGCAATACCTCGCGCTACCAGAGAGAGCAGAGCTCGCGGCTAGTCTCGGACTCACGCAAACACAGGTCAGTTCTAATCGACAACATTGAGACCGGCAAAGTAGAATGACGAGAAACTTCCCATGACAAAGTCCTGCAACGATAACGCTCATATTACTTGGTGGGAGCGACAGGCGTATTAATGACATAAATAGACTATGATAAACGGTTAAGAAGGAAAAGAAAGAAAACGTCTAGATGTCAAGTGTTCGCGAGCTACCAACGCAGACATTAGACGAGTCTACTTCAACTATTCAAGGAACGGTTTTATAAACTGATGATTGAAAACGTTCAAATCCTATTGGATTTATTTATTTTTAAACTTAACCTGTATTTAATTGCGCTAATAAATCATGCAGAGTGCTTGTAAGACTTTTTCTTAAACTTCGACCGGTTAAAGAATGTCGTATCGGTATAACGATAAATATACCGAGAATTATTGGACAAATTCTTCCTCGTTCGACTTTAGGCTTTAATATTTTAATTTGATCAGATACGGTGGTCACCTTGTATATCTATTCGGAAACGTGAAAATTATTACAATACATTTGGGTGTGCGGCGTGTCTCACGATAGGAAAATTTGTTTCTCATGACAACCTGATTTCGGCAGGAATTCGAATTTAAATTTCAGATTCGTAAGCAGCCTAATCGCCTGCATAGAACAGTGCCAGCGGTACGGCCGAAGGATAAAATGCCTGTTATATATATATATATATATTCCCGCGAATGTGTGAGAAACAGGTTCCTCGCTGCCCGATACGCATTATCAGGAAATACCGTCGGAAAGAACCTTTCGAACCTCGTGAGGCAATGAATTCCGCGTGCGACGAATAATAACGCGTCGCGTTAAAAGTTCGTTGTTGCCAATTGATCGCGCGTCTCGGCGAGTTCGAAATTTTCAGTCGAAATGGCGAATCGCGGGCGACGCACTTTCTCGATCAACGTCACGCACGGATCTAGTTGCGCGTCCGGTCCAGGGTAATAGGATCCCCGATGGACGGCATCTGTCAGCATTATCGGCACAAATGACTTTACTAAATCACCGATTCGCCACGCCCTGGACGTCGGGGATAGGGTTGCCGTCCAGTGTCCAGTGTACCGATAGAGGGAAAGAGAGCGAGAGGCAAGTTTACGCGGACTAACGAGGTGGCCATAAATTTTCTCCCGGCGATCGCGAGGTTTCGCGCGCGCGGGCTTTTCACACGGGCGGGAGCTTTATACGCTCGTCGGCGAAAAACTTTCCGCCAATTATCCGCCCTACGGGTCTCCAATTAACGATTTATTAGGAAGCTTGAGCTACACGGTCGGAAACTAATTGGGTCTGACCTCCTTGTCCGCCATCGGTCGCTCGGGACATGACAATTTACCGACGATCCGAAAACTGAGGCGACAATTGAAACGCGAAAACCCACTGAAATGTGTTCGAGTCGGCTCGCGCGCGATTTCACATATTCAATGATCGTTTGTTGGTAAACAGCGGAACGCCGTAATGACTTAAGTGGCCGGTATTTCGATCGAATTGCGACTCCCCCGGCGAAATGGCAAGCTTTTTCGTACAAAATTACCGCGTTTCGCTCTCCGATACGAGAGATGAAGCAATTTTCGCGGTTGCTCTTTGTACGTCTCTCACCCTTCGAAGAAGAAGTGCACAATCGTAGCGCGTATGGTGCAGCGCGTAACTGCGTATCGCATAATCACGGGATAACTGGCTGTCGTAGCTAGTTGATGCCGTTGCAGGGGGTCCCGGACCGGATAATTTCATTAGTCGGAGCACCGCAGGAGTTGCTCTCCCTCCGTGAGCGAATGAATCGAGCACAACGCAACCTGATGAGCAACCGCCATCAGGTTGTTTACTAAACATCTCCGCTCGAAGTCAGCGGTAGCCGCTCGGTAGTCGAAAATTAAAATAATCATCCCTTGGAAAATCCTCCGTCTTCCGTCTTCTCTTCCACGCTCTTCGCGGCGTACTTCTCGTTACTCGAACATTGTTGTACAAAATAACGGTGCAAACTGAGGAAAATGAAGATTTGTCACGAGTAAATTTCCCCCGTAACGATCCCCAATTTGTAGATCTCTCCAAGAGTTAGGAAAGAAGAAAAAATGCTTCGATAGATTCGTTGGATTTTTACATTAGACACCGGCGTGAAGCGTACCGAGATTTTACAAAACGAGGGGAATGACTTATATCTTCAGCTAGAGAGAGAGAGAGACTCTCCGCGCGCTACGTAACGAAGAACGTTCGCCGCGCGATCGGCGCAGCTCTTCAGGGGGCACCGTGCATAATCAGTAATCGCCCAATCAAGGCGCGTTCGAGCAAGCGCCTCTGCCTCTGCACTCTTGGCCCTGCTACCGTCGCGTTGGCTTTCTTGTCATCGCCACCAACATGGCGCCTTAGCCTTCAGACTCTTCCATCTTCTCTTCTTTCCTCGTCCCCTCCCTTCCCCACGTCACGACAACCAAGTCGTCCCCCCGGCAATCTCCCCTCGCATTTCCCCACCGAGTCTCCCCATTCTCCTTCTTCTCTTCCTCGTTTCCTTCAGCCTCAGATGAGCAAGAGCGAAAGAGCGGTGCGGGGAGGGGAGGGGAGTGGTGAGGATCGAGGTGAGGCCACGCATCTCTTTTTCTCCGGGACTTCAATTTGAGGACGTGGTAGCGTTCGTGCCGCCGGTGTACACGAGGTACGCGAAGAGAGTTCGAGCAAACCAGAGGGGGGGGGGGAGCAGGGAGTACTTGCACACGCGAAGTACATGGACACACGCTCTCGATCGCGCGCGGATACGTATACGTAGGGACGTGGGCACCAACACGCCCGTCTGCGTTCCTGCCACGTACCTTGGGCGTGGTGCTTCCTTTTTCTTCCTCCTCGCCGCGGTTAACGTGCCCGATCTCTCCTCATTGGCCCCGGGAATGCGAACACGTCGAAGCGAGATTCGAAAGTCGCGGGAGGGAAGCGCGAGGACGCGACGTGAATTCGAAATCCGACTGTGCCGCTCCACCACGGGATGCGGAGTTAGCGTCCCTTCGTAGCTTTTGCAACTTCGGAGACAGTCGAGCTGATTCGAGACGTGGAAACTTACGAATAAGACGCGCCAAGGCATGTGCAAAATCGATTAAAGGAAGGAGAGAGCGATGTGTCCATATTCGTATCGGGACTCTCCCGATTGTGCGTATATCAATTGTTCGCGGACCAATCGGAGCTGGTAGTTAGGTTTCATCGGTTTCGTATTTCGTATTTCGCGTTTGGCATTCTAAGCGACCGTCTAATATCGAATTTGACTTTTCCCATATGAAAGTTCCGGAACGAGGGTTGACTGTTATTGTTGCTACTAGTAATAGTAGTGAAAGCGGGTCGATCCGCCGGACACTCTAATCATGCGTAGAATTATACGGCCCACTGTTTCTTTCGGCGCTTCTCCTTATTGGTTGGGTTACACGATCAAACCACACGTTAATCGGATTCTCAAGTTGGAGGAACTAACGGATCAGGATTTTGAATCTCTTAAGAAAGGATGATGCACACAGTTCGGCACGAACGTTGTCTTCTTTAACGGACGGTTCAGATACGAACCGATTGCTACGGGGTAACTTCAATTTTGTCCGCGTGGCTCAACGTACCACAAATTCCGCACGATTCACACAGACAACAATGAACCGAGTGACACACCGCACAAATTCCTAATCGAATTATTCGCGCACGTGATACCCGATCCACACTGCTACCTATGTTTTGATGAAAAATTAATCGTTTTACCGTGATACCCTGCAATCAGATCTGCGCTCAGTTTCGCGGGAAGTCAAACGCCAACTGTCCGAAATGGCTGAGAGGTTGGGAGGGATTCTGGAAGCTTTCCTCTCAAAGCTCATCCATATTACTTAGCGAATCGGTGGGAATTATCACGCTAAATGGACAAATTCTCACAATATTGAAAACAAATGTTTGCAAAGCACATATTCAGCTCCGCTCTTGCTTGGAAACTTTCACGTAAAAAGTCGTATGCGGCGTTAATTAAATGCGGAGTACGATGTAGAACTGATTTCGATGAATATCTTCTCGCGATCTGTGATCGTGGTTTTTGAATTTTCGAACGGAAAGAAATTACGCGTCAAAAAAGCTGGCGCAAAACGCGTTCAAGGTCCTCGGAGATCTAACCACCGTCACGTAGCCGGATAGCACGCGATACAGCTTCGCGGAAAAGTGCCGCACACAACATCATCGAAAACGCCGCTCATGCAAGTAGATGAACGCGCGAGTAACTATTATTCATGCATGAATGCTCGCACGAACGCAAGAGTAGCGTACATCGCTCGCCACCGTTCATCGTTGTCTCAACGTCGGAATATTCGCACAAGAACCGCGGAGAGAGAAAAATAATATTAACAAATTGACATAGCAAAAGCTGCGTGATATATAAACTACAAAAAGCTGTAAGTCAGATTTTCGCAAAATTCCAATCTACAGTCAGTCTTATTTAGTTCGAGTTGATTTGCAATCGAAATTTTGCAATTATAAAGCAATCTGTATCATCTACAATTAGAAAGAGATCAAAGTATATGATTATAGTATTAGATATTGATATTCTTATAATCTTTCATTATAAAATGGCTTTTCCTCCGTTCCAGAATACCGATATATATCGATGTTATTAATTTTTGCTGGTATATAAGTCTAAACAATTTCTAATTAGATTTTGTAAAGAGAAATATAATATTCGTTCGAAATACTCTCTTAAATCGTCAAAAAGCCTACGTTTACTTAATAAAAAGCAAGTAGCTTCCAAATGGTTCGATCCCTTGATTTCTGTAGTCCGAGATTGAACACACCATCGTATCACAGAATATTTTATGAAAATCTCTAGTTTGTTGCGCAGAAAATTGCTAAACATACTATAGCGAAAATCAGATGAGACAAGAAGCGGCATTGGATTCCGAAGGCCTCTGTATCGACCGGATCAGTCTCAGGCAAGCAAAAGAGAGAAGCGGATTAGCCCAGATCGTGTTCCCCAGATCTATCTAGTCTCTGACCAAT